AAAGAAAGAAAGAAAGAAAGAAAGAAAAAGAAAGAAAGAAAGAAAGAAAGAAAGAAAGAAAGAAAGAAAGAAAGAAAGAAAGAAAGAAAGAAAGAAAAATTCTGGGAGGGCTAAGGTGATAGTTCAGCGGCATAAGCAGTGCCTGGCAGGAGCAAGGTCCCAAGTTTGATCCTTGGTACCTCATGCTATGCCAGCCTAGAACTGGGCATGGTGGTGTATGCCTGTAGTCCCAGTGCTGCAGAGGCTGAGACAGGAGGATCACTGTGAGTCTGACCTGTGTAGGGAGACCCTATATTGAAGGAATTTTGAAAAATGCTGGAAAATCTCTTAACAGATGTATGTAGTGTGACTTCAAGGAAATAAAAGGTTGAGAGAACTTGAAGGGCACTAGATTCATGTTATTTCCCAGAGCAAAAGATAAATATGAAAAATGACTTATTTGGAGTTAGCCTATAATTGTTCCATTCAGGCAGCCTATGGCACAGCACACTAAGGCACTCTGTTCATCCTTCTGGGAATACTAAGTCCAGATAAACAGTCTTAATAACAGTCTCCTCTTGCTGTCCTGACATGGAGCTAAAGCAGACACTCAGACTTACCAATATACATTGGAGAGTTTTCAGATTTGGAAAAATCTTCTATATAGGAAATCCCCAAAGGCATGATGGGTGTTTCACCCATCCCACGGATAATATTTCCCACCAGTACATACACCCAGATGAAGGATTTAACTTCTTTCACACATTCTGTATTGAAACAAACAAAAAAAAATTGCATTAGTGTTTTGAAAGCAAAATGTGACACTTAATTCAAAGTTCTCCGTATTTCACAATTCTTGTATGCCTGTGTTTCCATCTCAGTAATTTATATTATTACTACAGCAACGAAAACCCAGCTCTTCCTGTTGCTTCCTTAGTTGTAGAGAGGAGAGAGAGTGTTTAGGTTCAGACAAGTATGACTGGCGTGCTTGAGCCCATCCTACTTGAATGGAAGAGATAACTATATATCCATTTTTCCACTTAGTGTTTAGTGCTAACACATTGATAGTTTAATAGTATTTGTACCATAGAAATGGGAAAATTCCAAAAATCAAGGTTTGTTCCCACTCCCTGAGTGAGAGTCACTACCCTAGCAACCCCTGCGATCAGAGTGGTGTCCTGTTCCTATAGAACTTTGGGGGGAGGACAACGACTCCTAAAGTACACTCTGAAAACCTCTTTCTATAATTTAAGCTGTATGATGTTTTTAAAAACAATTTTATTGAGCAACAAATAGCAATGAGACAATCTCAAAACCGATTAGTAGGACAGTTTCAATAATTAATACATTGTATATTGTTGTCTTCTTAGTGGTTATTCATAGTACAAGATGCAGATATGGTATCCTGGCCAAACGCTATTAGTACAAATCTTTCTATTCATTGAATTAAGAGAATGTAGATGTATATCTACCTTATTTTGAATATACAGATACAAATGGTCCTTCATTTGTATCGCCTTTTTTTGTTTAGTTTTGTCAGAGATGGGTATTCCATTGTCATTTAAATATTGTAGGTGTGTGAATTCAGAAAAATAATCCAATATAGCCCAGTAGTCCATAATAGTAGTGGGTTATCCGTAGGACTGGCAATGTCAGAAGCTGTTGACTTGAGCCTTTTACAGCTCTGCCTGTTAATATGGCTTTACTTTTTATACCTCATTTTTAGCAAGCTATATGACATTTAAGCATGAGTTTCACTGAAGTTGGAGTCTCTACCACTTTGATAATTTTATAAAAATTAAAACTATCTAGCTGGGTACTAATACATTTTTTTTCTAAAGAGCCTATTGTATGCTGTGACCATCAAATACCTTTTAATTAATTCACTCTAATCCCTGGAGCAGAGCCACTTAGTAGTATAATGATACTTAGCCATGAGGAATTGAAATAGAAAAGGAAAGATTTCCTGGAATTTATATCTACAACTTTTCCTTGGGGGGATTGGCCAAGAGTGAATAGTTACATGGTAGGACAAAAGTACACATTGGTTTCTCTAAAAAGTAACTAGTTAATAAATAAGAAGTTTAGAAAAAAAATAAATAAATAAGAAGTTTAGATTCCTAAAGCATGCTGTTTCTGGCTACTGTCTTTCTTCTTTCCCCAAGAAAACTGCCCAGCTTTGAGATGGGTCTTTTCTCAAATTTTTTTGTCTGCTTTTTTTTTGGTCCCACTTCCACTGATATTCTAAATAAAAGCTGGAGAGGTCTCTGCCTGGAGACTTCTTTTGGGAGTCTCCCTAATCCTGGACTCGCTCAACTAGACTAGCCCCTTGGGGCCTCTGGGTGATTGAACTAAGTCTCATCTCCAAGAAATCATTCATTCTCTATGCTGCAATGGCCACATGCTGTGACACGTAGTGACCTGTGTTAGGAGTAACCTGCTGGTGCAGATCCATAGAGAGGACCAACTTTCCAAGCCTTGAAGCCTGGAGAAGGAATAAGGAAACATTTGACTCTTCATCCCAGTAAGGGGACATTAAGAGCCAAGGGGCAGCCTGGCATGTCTATGGTGAGGTCAAAGGTTAGGTTTATCAGCCCAGAGGTCTTTTAACTGTCCCAATGCTAAGTGAGTGGGGGCAATTCTTTTGATTTGTGTTTGCTCTTTTACTTTCTTTTCTCTTGCTTTGCCTACCAAAGGGGTCAACATTTAAAAAGGAAAAACAGTGAGAAAAACATTTGTAATGTCTCTTAGAAATATCTGACTCCAAAATAAATAAGAAAATAGACAAAAAGAGAGAAAGGGAGAGAAGATGGGAGGGAGGGAGAGAGAGAAAGA